CTTTTTTTCTTTTTTTTTTTTTCGAATTCAGAAAATCCAATATGGCGGCCTACTGGGTCACGTAAATCTTCGAAATATTTGCACTTTTAACATTCGTGTTGCGATATTTTTTCAATAAAATATATCCACAAGGCTTCAGTTAAAAGATCTCACTCCTGACACCATGTTTTGCTCTTTATTATCTCTTATATAACTAACGTACAATGTCTAAATCGAATGACTCTAGATGTTCGTAAATGTTGTTTATATATCGTATCTCCGCTGACGCACCACACCGTGGGCGCTACCGGTACAGGTAGCCCGTACATATCGTAACAGGATTGGAACCTACAACCTTTGGAATACTAGCCCAATGCTTTGCCAACTGAGCTATGTAGTCAGGTCGGTTTGAGTATGCAATACTTTGGAACTGAGTCTAGTTCCTTCGATATCAGTGTAATCTAATAATCATGATATTTGCTGTGTTGGACTGTTGGTGTAATGTACTCAGGTGAATAAGATGGTTGTGTGATGTTACTCTGAGTGTATATCCACACCAGGCAGGCTTGAAAAATATGCCTGGCCACAGTGGGATATATTTCGAACCTACAACCTTTGGTATACTAGCCCAATGATCTTCCAAGGAATACTAGCCCAATGCTCTCCCAATGCATTTGCCAAAGGTCATAGGTTCGAATCCCACCGTGGCCAGGCATATTTTTCAAGCCTGCCCGGTGTGGATATACACTCAGAGTAACATGACACAATTTGGATTCTTGCACTTCACTTGGTGGAATTAATATTAGAATGTTAGGGTTAGTAATCCAAGTGAGAATATATACATTTTAAGACCTAACCAGGGACGACTGCGAAAAATGCAGCACAAGGTCCTCTGATAGGAATCGCAGGGCCGTAGGTTCATTTCCTACCAGAGGACCTTGTGCTGCATTTTTTTGCAGTTGTTCCTGGTTAGGTCTTAAAATGTATATATTCTCACTTGGATTACTAACCCTAACATTCTAATAACATCACACAAGCATCTTATTCACCAGAGTACATTACACCAACACAGCAAATATTTTTAACAACTGGCCCCTGGAGGGTGAGTACCTCACAGGTGTTTGTTGTGGATGAATATTGATGTTGTTGTGGATGATGTCATCCTGATCCTAATCCTGACATTAAAACCTAATCCCGAAGCTAAAACTGCAACAAAATCCCATGAGTTAGTCAAGGCCAGCTGTGAATTTGATGTCATCATGATGTTACTCAAATTACACAAAGACATTGTAGTATGGCTCAATTTCCATATTAATGATTCCAAAATTTAATCTCCAGTACCTACCTTAAAACCAACTCTAGTTCTAATGGTTACCCTGACTAATTCTAGTAATTATCCTTTCGGCACAAAGTTATATGGAACGTGACCCATGATTATACAAGCAAAAGGAGGGAAAACATTTGGGAAAACAAATGGTTCCTTGCTATTTCTCAAATGGCAAGGCATAACATTTGTTCTCCAGATAATTTGAGCGAAGTTTGCAAAGTATAATCACATAATTACTGTGTGGTGCAAAGAAGTTGACATTATGGTTAAAAGTTTCAATTGAATATTTACAAAATAATATAAAATAACCATTGATACTTAAATGCTTAAATTCTTTCAGTACTTCATTGTCTCTTTAATGCATGTTCTATTGCCTTAATTGGGAATGAGAGTTTGTCTGCTCACTTGAGATGCCTCACCAGTATTGAACTGTTTGAGAATGCCAAATACTATACTAATCACTCCTTCATCGAGTCCCAGCATAAAAACGTAATAGCGTTCACTACACTTAAAAATGCCTCTGCCATGTGTGTATCTGATGCAGCTCTTACTTTTTTCGACAATTGTAATGAAATACATTCTCATCCATGGTGTGCATGTTTGCCTTGCCCACAGTAATTCAGTGTGCCATTCAGTCATTCTACCCACTCACCAATGATACTGTAGCGAAAGCAAATTGGGATTCCTTGGATTCAATTGTACAATACAGTATATCTACGGGATTATCTTGATGGCAGTGCAATTGAATATGTCCATATCTTTCATTGTGCTGCGATGCCACCGTCTTATTTGGTTGATCGAAGAATTCTATCTACCAAAAATCATTTTGTTACCTGGTGCAAACCAGTTAAAGCACTTCAGCCACGAGACCATTATTTTAAAGCACACCTTCCAACCTTATTGAAGTCTGCGATGCCAGTTCATCCTAAAGTTCCTCCTACAGTTTCTCCTAAAGTTTCTACTAAAGTTTTTTCTGCTCCTTCTTCTACACAAGTGACTACATTTACTAAAAAGCAGACGACTGGTCCAAAAAGAAAACAAATTAGCTTAGATCGGTGCGCTTCTTGTGAAACGAGCGTGCAACACACAAGAAACTGTAGACAGTGAAATCAAATTTCCCAGCACTAGTAAAGGAATTTCATCTGTAACTCCCAACACTAGTCCTACTTCAGAAAAATCTAACACCAAAACACAACGAACTTCCACCAATTCGTGGCCAGATGACATCTACAACTACGTAAATCTGGTGTCCAGTCTTCCTGATTCGAAAAAGTACGAAATTCTGTGCAATCATTGCCATTGGAAACCTGGTTCTGATTTTTCTTTTCCTCCACGCAAAAATATTGGTAGACGTTTCCGGTTGGCATGGTTATCACAATTTCCATGGTTGGCTTACTCTGCTGTGGCAAACGGTGGTTTTTGCGTCACTTGTGTTCTTTTTGGCAGTGAAAGCACGCATAATGCAAGCGAGCTCCAACTATTGATGACCAGTGCTCTTCCTCCAAGTGCTTCTGCTGTCCAGAAACTATGTCAGCATGGTGAAAAATCCAATGTTCAGACAACAGCAACTTTCCGTGCTACACAGTTTAAGCGAATGATCGAGAATAAAGATACTTGGTATCGATGCATGTGCAGCTGAAAAAACGCACCCCGTAAAAGACCTGCGTTGGAACTGAAACGCCAAGATGATTGAGTTCGATGTACAGCCCTAATTGGATATTTTTTGCTACTAAGAGCCTGAAATACACAGGAACAGTACATGCGGTACAGAGTTGTGGTTTTATGTAAGTACAGTGATTTTGTAACATTCTAATGTTGTAACGTTCGCTGAAGAACATGGTATGTTGTTTAAATATTTGACTTATTTAGTGTGTTTCGTTATTTGCTCTCTAAAATATGGCGCAATTAATGACGAATTATATGATAGAATTCGATGCTCGAGCTCAGAACTCAGGAAATGGCATTTCCGGGGTTCAAATTTCAAAAATTTTCCGGGGCACATGCCCCCGGACCCCCCTAATTATTGACGGTTTTGGAGTGCGCCACGGTCAGGGTTTAGGCTGGATCCGCGCCTGTGTTAGTATGTGGGATACATCATTATTGAACAATATAATGGTTGTGGGTAATAATCTCTATACTTTTATAAGCAACTCTGTTAACAAAAGCTATTTACTTTTAACTGATGTTCTAGAACTTGTATCAGTTTTTGACAACATTTATAGTTTACAATACAGCGAGCCTTTGGCTGGAGATCTGTTTATGGAAACTACCAATTTACCTTACTATTCTCTGGAGAATGCTCTTTATAATTTGTTTGATGATTCTCAGTTTAATTATCAACATTGTATGCTAACAATAAATTGCAACACTATTGCAATTTTTAAAACTCCTGAAGGTAATTTTAGAATTTTTGATTCTCATTCAAGAGATTCATATGGCATACCACACCCATTTGGAAAATGTGTGTTAATTTCGGTTGAAGATATACATATAACCTTACAACCTATTTTCAAAACACCGTTCCTCGAGGGGATGCAATACCATTTGAAATAAAGGGGATAACTGTTGAGCTTGCAAGTGCAAATGAATGTTTGCATGTAAAACAATGTGGGTCTGAGGAACCAGAACTTCACAAACAAAAGCGACTGGATAATGATAGAACATATCAAAAAATTAAACGAGCAGCTGAGATTGATTCAGAAAGACAGTTAAGACTTAGAAATGTCAGGGAAAGTCAAAAAACAAAACGAGCCACAGAGACAAACTTTGTAAAGCAACTTAGACTTGAAAATAGAAGAAAACATGACAGTTGTAAGAAAGCTGTAGAAACTGAGTCTGAGCACCAAAATAGACTTGAAAGTCATCGCAACTACCAGATATTAAAAAAATTGGCAGAGAGTGAAAGTGAGAGACAAACGCGATTAAAAATTGATCGTGAGTATAGAAGAAAAAAACAAGCAAATGAAACTGGTGTTCAGCAGCAAGCCAAGAAAAGCAGAACTTCACAAGAATTGGAAACAAATGTTGATACCAAATTCTCATCCGAGCTGTTCAATCAATGACAGTGAAACTAAAAATCAAGATAATTATTTGAAAGAATTTGACTCAATTAAGAATGGTAGTATTCATGAACAATTTTGGGCAAAAGCTAATATTAAGAAGTTTCATAAATCTGTTAAATTTTTCATCAGTAAATGTTCCATTTGTCATGAGGCATGGCCTCTTAAATCTAAACCAAAATCACCAAGTAATTATGAATGTTCGCGATGTTTTAGAGATAAAAATCTCCTAAAAAGTTTTCACTTGAAAATTCAATGATTCCTTCTGCTATCCCACAGGAGTTAAAAGATTTGACTCAAGTTGAGGAAATGTTGATTGCTCGAGCACTCCCAATCATGAGAGTCTATATTAAACCAGGTGGACAACGAGGTTACTCAGGGCATTGTATCAACTTGCCACAAAATGTAAAGGAACTGGCCACATCTTTGCCAAGGTATCCAAATGAATTGTCTGTTATCATTGTCAAAGCTAAAGGTAAAAATAACACATTTAAAGATTTGACTGTAAGGAAACAAAAAGTGCACAATGCTTTATTATGGCTAATACAAAATAACCCTCATTATTGTGATTTACAAATTAATACAACTGCATTAAATTTCTTGCCTGAAAATGGTGTACCACCAGATCTCATGACTGTTGAGACTGATGATGATATAGTCTCAGATGATAATTGTTCTCCTGATTTTGGTCCTCCTACTGTTAACTCCTCTGAGGATATTGCATATAATGACTCGACTGAAATGAGTAGTTTTCTACCTGTTGGTGAGCAACAACAACAGGAAATTGAAGCTGTTAGAAAACATCTTTCTGAAAATGAACCCATGCCTTGGCCTACAGTTGAAAGTGAACCAATTAATGAATATCAGATATCACATTTGGCCACAATGGCATTCCCAACACTATTTCCTGATGGGAAAGGCGACCCTACTAATTCAGGTCTATTAAGAGACATTCCTCTTCAAGAACGAATTAAGCATCTTCTGAAATT